GGCCACCGCCCATGCACAGACTTCCCTTCCCATTCCCAGATTCTCACTCTAGGTCACTCCTTCAGAGAGTCTACACTGCACACTGTGGAGTCACAGCCCACAACACACACACACCCAAAAAAGGCTGTTTGGAAACACAGTGCTTCTCAGAATCCATATATACAAACATGCGCACACACACACACACACACACACACTATTGGCATATGCTCCATAGACAGACATCCCCAGGGTCAGGCCTGCCCTACCTCTCTCTCCCAGATGAAATTTCAATAGCTGGCTATACCAGAAGCCCAGGTTCTCTAGAGAATATATATGGAAGCTAATACTTCGGATTTTAACTTTCATTCTTACTCCCACCTTCCCTGCTCCTTCAAAGTTCCTTTTTAATATTCATCCTAATTGCCCCCCGACCATATAAAACCTTTAACCCACCCATTATCCGCAGCAGCACAGAAGCTCACCATTGCTTTAAAGGCATCATGCGACGCACACATATGTTGAAATATAAAAACGACATTTCTAGAGGCAGCTTTTGCCTTTGAGAACTGAGACGTTCCTACTTTCATCCCTAAGAAGTCATGGGGCAAGAGCACTTTGTGTGTCTTTATACACCAAAGACTTCCCAGAAGAAAGGGACCCAGGCCTCAAAACACACCCTAGGTCCCCACACTCACCTTTTCACTGAACGGAGAGACGGTGAGCTGAGGCTTTGAGGCCAGGGAGCGTTTCTTTTGTCTGATGACATTCTGTGCAACTATGGAAACATTAGCAACAAAAGTATTTGTGACCTGGCACACCAATAATTACCTTAATTTACAAAAACGGAGACATTCCATTGTTCAGAAGGTGAGGTTTTTGCTACATTTTTCTTGTAAACCTAAGATTCAAATAACTTTTCTCTTGTGCTCGAACACACTAAAGTTCACCATAAATGTGTTAATAGTTTCCTAGTCCTATTTTTAAACACACATAAGCACATACATGAATAAAGAAACAATAACCTGAGTCAATCCCCCACGCTATCCACTCTAGTCAGAGAAAGGCTGCCTTGGAGAACTAATCCTCAGCCCTCTACTCAGAATACAATGGCTCCCACCCCTAACCAGAATACAACCCAGAACCCTTGCCTGGACCCTAGGCTACTCAGCGCACACGGTCCCAGCTCCCACTCCACCCACATCTCTTACTCTGTGCTGTGGGATAATCCTTCTGTACACTGTGAATGTATTACTCTCATTTGCTAATAAAAAGCTGATTGGCCAATAGCTGGGCAGGAAGAGATTAAGTTTGAGAGCCAGACCAGGAGAATTCTGGGAAGAGGAAGGGCAGAGTCAGAGAGTCACGGCAAACACAGAGAAGCAAGAAGAGAATGTTGTACTGAGAAAAGGTACCAAGCCACATGGCTAAACATAGACAAGAAATATGGGTCAATTTAAGTGTAAGAGTTAGCTAGCAACAAGCCTGAGCTATCAGCAAAGCATTTACAATTGCTATAAGCCTCTGTGTGATAATTTAGGAAGCAACTACTGTGTATTTGGAAACAGGCGGTAGGGACAGGACGCATCCATTTATAACTCTGCCCATGCACATTCCACTCCTGCTACAATGGGCTCCTTTCTGTTGCCCCAAACATTCATTACACTTCCCGTTCCCTCCTTACCACACTCCCCACCCCAAGCTAGCCAGAATTTTTATCAATCCTTCTTTTATCCTAGAATGTTCTTCCCCTTTATCCACATGAATCCATCCCAACCTTTTACTCCCCAACCCTACCTCTTGCTTCATTCTGATCTTTACTCAATTGTCACATAAACAGAGTATTTTAGATCTGGGAACATAGCTTGTTGGTACAGCACATATCTTGCAAGGATGAAACCGTGGGTATTATACCCAACATGCCTAGTGGATGGCATGTGATGTGATCCCCAACACACACACACACACACACACACGCACGCACGCACGCACGCACGCACGCATGCACGCACACGCACACTCACGCACACACACACAGTGTTTCCCAACTAGATCTAGTAGTAGCTTGTAGTCCCAACTGTTAGGGAAGTAAAGCCGGAGTATCTCAGTTCAAGGCAAGCCTGAGCAACTTGGTAACATCATGAAATTCCATCTCCCCAGAGAAACTAAAAAAAGGGTCTAGAGAGATGGTGCAGCAGGAAACAGTGCTTACTTCTCCAGAGGAACTGAGTTCAGTTCTCAGCACCCACATCCAGTGATTCACTATCTCCTGTTATAACTCCAGCTCCAGGGAATCCAGCTCCCCCTTCTGGCCTCCTCAAGCACCTTTACACACACATGATTGTGGTGATATTTTATTTGTGCTCTAACAAATAAAGCTTGCCTGGGGATCTGAGGAAAAAGCCAGCCACTATATTAATCATAATGGTAGCATGCACCTTTAATGCTAGCATTCAGGAGGCAGAGATTCATCTGAATCTCTGTGAGTTCAAGGTCACAATGGCAACAAAGCCAAGCATGGTGGCACACTCATTTAATCCCAGCACTAGTTGACCACAGAGGTCTGGAAGTCTGTACAGACAGACAGGAAATGATAGAGCTGGGTGGAAAGAGGAAGTAATGTAGCTGGGTGGAGAGAGGAAGTAAGATGGCAGGGCACAGAAAGGTATATAGGTGTGAGTATACAGGAAGTAGCTCTCTTAGGCTGAGGATTTCCTAATGGTAAGAACTTGTGGCAGGCTTATCTTATCCCTCTGATCTTTCAGTTTTCACCCCAATATCTGAGTCCGAGTTTTTTATTAATAAGACCATTTAGCAATTCATGTTATGCATGACTTTCATATACACACATACATGCATAAATACATACATACCCACACATTATAAAATGAAAATAATACAAATAAATTTTTTAAATAAAATATTAAAAGAGTAAAAGAAATTTCCCTATTCAGTCTACCTAAAACATTGCCACCTACCACTTTATCTCTTTACTATTATTTATGCTTTTTCATAGCATTTATATGGTAATATATAAATAACTGTAAACAAATATATAAATAAAGCACAAACAGATTATACATCTGTTGACCTAATAAATGTTCATTCCCATTGATACATACTTCATGAAAACAAAAAAGCCTCCTATTCCATTCACAGTATGTTCTCAGCGCCAAGAGTAGTGTCTGGCAATATTCAGCACATAAAATATCAACTTAAACAACGACTGTCATCCCTTTAAAAATATGAAGAGCCCTTGTCCCAACCCCATCCCTGAGCATGGCCATTGACAAGGAATGGCTTAAGCTCTTGGAAACAGCCAAAGGTTACTGCTGGTCCAGTATCTGGGATTTCTAGACCTTTCCTTACCCCTCAAACAGAGCAAGAACCTTCTCTTTGCTAACACACCAGCATGGAACTTTCACCCCTGAGGGGTTGGCCTGGAGAATATTCTCTGGCAGTCTATTCTACTTGGGTCAAAGCCTAGAGGACTGTGCCTCCTCCAGGCTGGAGAAACAGCAGCCAGCTGGTTGCTTCAAGGTGAGGTGGGAGGCAGAATGACTCAGTCCTACTTCAGGTCCAGGCCACAGTTCTCAGATCAACTTTACCAGGAACAAAGCAGATTCCTTATTAGAATGTCTGCTTGAGAGTGTGAGGGATGAGAAGCAGAGAGTAGAATTATATTCTTGTTGCTACCTTAATTTTACCAAAGAGGTTATATGTAGCCAGTAATGGTGGCGCACGCCTTTAATCCCAGTACTGGGGAGGCAGAGGCAGGCGGATCTCTGTGAGTTCTAGGCCAGCCTGGCCTACAGAGTGAGTTCCATGATAGCCAGAGCCACACAGAGAAATCCTGTCTTGGAAAAGAGAGAGAAATTATATGTAATTTAAGGGTTTTTTTTCTCACATGTTCTATATTTGCCTCCCAAGGTATATATACAGAAGCAAAATACTTTTTAAAGCCTCACAATTTTCCAGAAACTCACACTTTACCATGAACCATTTTCATATATTTTTGTAAATATGAGACTGGCCACTTTTCAGAGTAGAGTAATCTTTAATGCTACTTCAAACTTGACCAATTCCATGAATCATTTTAACAGTATGAAATTTTAATTTCACCAGGAAAAGGATTTCAAAGAATATAAAATTTTGGTTAAGAAATACCTTTCTTTTCTTTGAATATGACATATGCAAGTCCTTTGGTTCTTGATGGATATATCACCTCTTCCACGTGTCCACCCTCATCTCGGAAGTAACGCTTCACTAGCTGGTCTTTGGAAAGGCTAACTGGAAGACCAGAGACTACAATCGTTCTCTCAGAAACTGTGGGGTCTCTGATCTTCAATGCTGAAGCCTGTAGAAAAACAGTTAGATGCTGTTTAAATGTGAGTCACCATCACATCAGTGAGACACAATGGCCTTTCCACAAAGGCAGCTAATGTCTGCCTCATTCCATCTACCAATAGAGACCTTAGTCAAATCTGAGAGTTATGCAGACTACTAATAATTAAAAAATAATAGTTAATATTTGATTTTAGAAAGGCCCAAATAATAGAAACTGTCACCAAAAGAAAAAGGGGGGGTTGCTCTTTTGAGATGGGGTCTTATTATGTAATCTTAGTGTAAAGAGTCTTTTTCTGTCCCACCAGCCAGCTCCTAAATGATGACACTGAGATTTCTTATTAATTATAAAAGCTCGGTCTATATCTTAGCCTGTCCCACTAGCTCTAATAGCTTAAATTGACCTGTTTTTATTAACCTGGGTTTTACATTGTGGCCTTTCACCTCCCTTTTGTTCTGTATGTCCCTTCATGTCTCACTGGTGTCTCCTCTGTGCCTCAATTGTCTCCTCCTACTTCCTCTCTCTGCCCAGAAGTCCTGCCTACACCTTCTGCCTAGCTATTAACCATTCAACTTTTTATTACACTAAGCACAGCAACACACCTTCACACAGTGTACAAATATCCCACAACACCTTCCCGAGACATCTCTGTAGTTTTGGAGCCTGTCCTGGAACTCGCTCTGTAGACCAGGCTGGCCTTGAACTCACAGAAATCCACCTGGCTCTGCCTCCCGAGTGCTGGGATTAAAGGCACCACCACCACCACCACTCAGCTCTCTATTCCTCTTGAATCCACGCCTCCTTCACACCTTCATTTATCTCCCACCCTGAGTTAGGAAAGTGAGTCTATCAGCCTCTCCCAAGATGTGCACGGTTAACCCAGGCTAACGCAGCAACATTCAGACATAATCTGTCTTAATCAGCTGAGGGAGGACAAGGTCTCCTGAGCTGGACTGAGGATTAGCAAACTGCAGGGGAGCTTTGGGCTCTCAAAGCAAGGATTGTATCAAATAAGACTCCTCTGGGGGAGGAGCCTGCTTCTGGCCTCCCAGGAGGAGGACAGATAAACGGTCTGTGCACACACATTCGCCTTAAAAATGAAAGTAAAAGAACAAAATTAGTTCACTGGTGCAGGAGATTTCAACCAATTTCAGGGAGTCAACAATACACCAAGGTATATCTAAGAAGGAGACAGAAGAAATGAACCTAGAACAAGGAAATGGGGGGTTGTGGGTAAAGGCGACAGTCTGCATAAGGGGACCCTCAGGTGTGAAAAAAGGAACAAACACAATAGGTCATGATGGCTACTGGTAAAGCAACTGCTCCAGCTTGTTCTCCACACTGTCTACCCCCGACTTAAACACACAAAACCCAGAGTAACGGACACTGGTGCAAAACCGCAGGAAAACACTGAGGACCATTTTACTTAAGAAAAAAATTAACTCTCTAGAGACCAGTTAGCCTGGGCACACAGGAGCACTGCCCCCTCTTTTCTGGCATTTGAAGAGGCTCCAGCCTACAGATCATTAGCAAACTAAATCTTAAGTCAAAGGGGGAAATAAAAAAGGAAAAGAAATTTTGACTGTCCCTAGAAACATTTCCCTTTATGTGGAAAAGGACAATTACACAGGACATGAGATCAAAAGAGAACAAAGAATTTTAGTATACAATTAGACCCTGCTGGCGTAGTGTTTGTTCTTAGAATGCACTACTGTTGAGTTTTAGACCAAAAGTGCTAAGTCTTCAAAATACCAAAAATTTTTAAATGGCTACAGAAAACAAAGAAATATTCAACGCTGTCAATGTAAGAATAAAGCCAGTATTAACAGAAACTAAGGTGGGGGGAACGACAGGATTACATTACAAAGAATCATGTGATGTTATACACAGTTTAAGTGTGTTATAAAAGTTACAAAAACAGCCCAAAGAAAAATTTTAAGTGAGGTTCCAGTACAGCTTTCACAGTTGAAAAGTGGAGAAAGCAATCAGACGTTCCCCTCATTTATTATAGCAGAATTCAGAAACTGACTAAGGCAATGGTGATGGCCCAAAGGATTCATGTTCTCAGAATCCCTGCTTCATCCAGTTGTAGATACAAAATAGGATGGCACACGAGCCCCTTCCTAAGGACATTGTGGTTTTAAGTTTACGATGTATGCATGAAGTTCTCGGCACATATACCTATCACTTAAGCCACTAACAAAAACAGTATTAATTAAACATATATTCCACATCTGTCAATATGTTGGGTACTAGAAGTGGCAAGCAGAAGAAAGAAAACTGTTGTCCTGAAACTCTGTTTCTCTCCAAAAACATGCACTGTAGGGGGGCTGGGAAAATGGCTCAGCATTTAAGAGTCCTGTGGGCTGCTTTTCCAGAAGGCCTGTGTTCAATTTCCAGCACCAGCATGGTGGTCCACTATCGCCTGTAACCCCAGTTCAAAGGGATCTGACACCCTCTTTTGGCCTTTGAGGACATCAGGCATGCATGTGGTGCACATATATACGTGCAGGCAAAACACACACACACACACATAAAATAAAATAAATTTAAAAATAAAAATGTACTGGGTACTCTTTCTGTCATGGAGAAATTCTGACCGTCACTTGAAATATTTCCCTTTATGTAGAAAAGGAGCTTCATACATGACAGGAGACCAACAGGTCTCTACAATTGTGCGGAAGGAACTTCTAGCACCTGTGTGAGGAGACAGACATGTAAGTCATTCCAAAGGAGTTCGGTTTGCATGAAAGAGGACTCTTTACTGTTCTACAGAAGGAAACAGAACACCTCATCTGAGAACACAGATCACCCCTAGTAAAACCCTAAAACTATAATAAATGCCATTCAGGATTAGGAAGCAAGACTAATTCTGGCTAATGTCCAAAAGAGGCTCCATAAATGAGAGGCCTTGAAGGCTGAGGTAGAACTGGAACTGATGGAGCAAAATATCAAGTAAAGGAAGGTCTCAGCCCACCAAATGGTGGTGGGGGGGGGTGATCATTGCTTGTGCTTACAGAATACAAGACAAAGGAAGACCCCCGAAGATAAAATGCTCAAAAATACAAAAAGTAAAAACTTACTGGCTGTATGACAGGGAAGACACTGTAATGGGAATAAACGATTTGTCTAGAAGGTGCAGTAAAAAGATGAAATACATCATTGGAGCGTTCCTTCCCTCTAGTCCCCAGAGGCTTAATGCAATTCTCCCAAGATTCCCTTGGGTGGGGGGAGGAATGACCAATGGGACTTTCAGATTTCCAGGGAAACTGACTGACGTCCTGCCTTCTAACTCTATGGCATTCTGACAGCCCACACCAGCCTCTGTGGTAAATGGCTGGAGAACCACCATCTTTCCTGCATTTATCAACATCAAAGAAAAAAAAAAAATCCATGTAAGCTCAGGAAACATCCACACCTCATCAGCACGAATGTGTTTCTTAATTCGAGTGTCTACGCAACCTTTATCTTTAGAATCAAAGAAACTCCCTGAGCCAGGGTTTTTGTAGACCTGGTTTTGCAAGACCTCACTGCATTCTGTGATCTTGTGAACCACTTCGACGCCCTGTGTCCTCTTTAGCTCACTCAAGTCTGAGGACATGTGGCTGCTCGTCTTCTCCTGGAACCAGCTAAGAACAGAGTTATCGGTCTCCTCTGTGCACAGTCAAGAAGAAAAACGAGTATCCCGAAGAAAGACAAGTTATTCAAAGACTTTGAAACAAGGCAATGTCAGCAGAGACACGAGGCTGATGGCATTTTACCGTTTCCATGCTCTATATCAACAGACTCTGGTGCAACGTAAAACTTACTTTTTAAGTAGGACACTAAGAAGAAATATTTTACATACTGTTTGAGTCTCTATTTGCTTTTCCAATCACCTGTCACCAGGTAACACACACACACACACACACACACACACACACACACACACACACACACACACATCAGGTGAAACATACATACTCACGCATGCATGGCAACTGCTCCAAAACATCTGGGTCTCTAGACAAAAACCCAGGGCCCTGAGGAAAGGCCTGGCGTGGAGACAGAGACCGCCGTCCAGTGCCGTCGGTTTGGACCCTTCTTGCTAGCTCCTTCCAATAGTTGGCTATGGGTCACTGTCCTCTTCCTCATCCATAAACCACCTTTCTCAGTACGGCCCTAACCACCTTCCGGAAAAAACCCGGGTGCCCCTTGCCATTCCGCCAGGAGTGAGAAAGGCGCCCGTGTCCCTACGCGTGGGAGCCAAGCCTGCCGCACCCGCGACGGCCACTTCGGGGCGCGCGATCACGCGGGACACGTGCTCCGGGGACCCTGGGCGCGCCTTCCCGCACCCCGACCCCGAGGAAAGCAACTTGCCATGGCGCGGAGGAGAAGCTCGGGCAGCGGGCGACCTAAAGCCAGTGGCGGGCAGGTTCCGCTTTCACTTTCCAGTTCCCGTCGCCCGGGAGACGGAGCGCGGAAGGGCGGGGTCCTGCGCCCGCCGCCCCGCTGGGGAGAGCTCCGGGCCTGTGCTGCTCTTGCGCGGGATGCCCAGCGGGCATCTGGATGATTCCCGGACCGGGCTCCGTGCACTCTGCTCTCTCCAGCTCTTTCTCAAGCAGGGTCTCTCCCAGCACCTTCCCGCCGGCGGGGTCCCCGGCATCCCAGCTCAGCACCTGCGGAGTGCGGAGCACAGCCGCAAGGCACGATGCTGCCCACCCAACTCACCACCGAGCCTCCTCGCTGAGGCCTGAGACAAGGGAAACCTAGCGCGGGCCTCAAAGTGAAACTAAAGAAATACGAAGAAAGGCAAATGGATGGCAGAGCATGATCTCCTTTGTAAAGAAATAGAAACTGAAATCATGAGATACCAGTTTTCAACCAGTCTGCCCAAATTAGCAGATAACCGGATGTCAGCACAAGCTGGTTTAGGATTTGGCCCTCTGTCGGAAACTCAGAATACAGGTCCCCACAGTGCAGCATTTTAGCATGCCCTGGACATGAAGAAGCCTTCTGACCCCTTCCCAGGCTCACCTCTCTCCTGAATCTTTGCTTTCCCGAAGCCAGTCATAAAAATTAGAATTCCTTTTCCCCAAAGTAGAGCATGTAAAATAGACACTTGTCGTTCCAAACCAACTATGAAACCTAAAAATGTCATTCTCCCCTCTCTCCGAGGGAAGACTCATTCCAGCAGGAAGGAATGCTTGCTGTACAGAGCAAAGGAGAATCCAGACAGGCTGGGATCCTGGGAAGAGGACCCTCTGTTGAGGAACTACAGCCATCCTGTATGCATGCCTGTCTGTGGCTGTTCTTGATCGCTAATTTGTTGGTCTGTGAGCATGTATTTTCTTTTCTTTCTCCCCCCATCCCCCACCCCCACCCCCGACAGGGTTTCTCTGTGTAACAGCCCTGGTTGTCCTGGAACTAGCTTTGTAGACCAGACTGGCCTCGAACTCACAGTGGTCCACCTGCCTCTACCTCCCAAGTGCTGAGATTAAAGGTGTGAATCACCATCCCCAGCTGTGGGCATTTTCTTGATTGCTCATTTATGCAGGGGAGCCGGGCCTACTGCGGCAGTACCATCCCTTAGACAGGTGGGCTTGTGCTGCGGCAGTACCATCCCTCAGACAGGTGGGCTTGTGCTGCATGAGAAAGGATGCTCAACGTGAACCTGACAGGAAGTGGGTCAGCAGCTCACCTACCAGGTTTCTGCTTCAAGTTCCTGCCTTGGCTTCCAGCCTTGATGAACTGTAACCAGCACAAGGAAAGAGACCCTTTCCTTCCCAAGTTGCTTTTGGTCATAGTGTTTATTCCAGCAACAGAGAACAAACCAGAAAACACGGACCTTGCTGGGTACCCACCTCCAACAGTCTGTTGTCATGAGAATGGAACTTCCGCCCAGTCACATTTCCCAAAGCTGCCCACTCTTTATCTATCCTGAGCATAAAAACTGTTTTCCCTGAGCCTCTGGGTGTTTCCTTCTGATGGCTTCATTCAATGCTAATGAGCTGTTTAACGAATTCGTTATGCTGTTCTGTTGCTCATTTTTTTCAGTGGGGGTGGACGTTGTGACCTTCACCAAAACTAAGGAAATGATAATGCTCTAATATTATCAAACTGTAATGTACAAAAATGTAAATGTGCAGTTATCCTCAGACTCAGCAGTTTCACTCTGAGAAGTTCACCTCAAATGGTAGTACACAAAAGTGATCCTAAGAGGCTGTATAAAAATTAATATATGTTGCTTATAGTGAGGAATTCTCTCAGTTTATCAGGACCTACTTACTTCAAGGCTGTAAAGATTGTAGCACAGAATGAGATAGATCTACATGTAATTATAGAGTTGCTCAATTTATGGCTTATTTCCAGATCTTCCTGCCTCAGCCTCCAAAGTGCTAGGATTTCAAGTTTATGCCACCATGCTGACACACCGTGCTATGCCAGTCTGAATGTCTAATAAAGATCGAAATTGAATGAGATCAAACTTTTTCTGGAGCTTTGGGTTGAAGCCAGCGCCTATGTGTGATGGGTAAGTGCACCCGGCTCCCTGCTTCAAACTCTATCACCAGTTGACACTTTATTCATATTCTTGATATAGCACGGTGTCTTTGTCTCCTGGAAAGGTAGATCAAATGCCTGGACAGGAGCAATGTAATGGAGAAAGGGTTCATTCGGCTCATGGTTCCAGGTTGCTGTCCACCTGCAAGAAAGTAAAGGGGGCAGAAACATGAAAATGGATCACATCACATCCACAGTCAAGTGCAGAAAGCAATGAACTAATGAATGAACAATGAATTAATGCATACACAATAAATTAATGAATGCATACGAGGGCTTAGCCCGATTTCCCCTCTCTTACACAGGATCCCTTGCTCAGAGAATGGTAGCACCTACCACCAACAATATTACCACAGGGACTCACCTGTGGTAATCTAAACAATCCTTCATTTAAATTTCTCCAGGTGATCCCAGCTACATTGTGTTGTAGCACAAATCTTAAAAGGTCTTATTAATAAAAACAAACCCGGAGCCAAGTATTGAGGTGAATGCTGAATGATCAGAGAAACAGAACAAACCACATCCAACCTCACCTAGCCAACTTCTCAGCTGATCTTGTTTCCTCAAACGGGAAGCCTCTGAGTCCTCACCCATATGGATCTCAGCTGAACTGCAGCTAAAAGCCTAAAAGCTTAAAAGCCTCTAGTTCCTGGTCCTCACACCTTATACCTTTCTGCTTCCTTCCATCACTTCCTGGGATTAAAGGTGTGTGTCCTTCCCAAGCAAGATATGAGATATCAAGCGCTAGGATTAAAGATGTGTGTCACCATGCCTGACTATTTCCAGTGTGGCCTTGAACTCACAAAGAACTGGATGGATCTCTACCTCCAGAATGCTAGGATTAAAGGCCTGTGCTACCACTGCCTAGCCTCTATGTTTAATATTATGGCTGTTCTGTTCTCTGACCCCAACATAAGTTTATTGGGGTGCACAATATATCAACCATATCATGTCAAATTGACAAAATGAAACCTAATACATGATCATAAAGACCCTTTCTAAAGTTTTAAAATATTGTAGCAATGTTTGATATTTTCATAAGCTGCATTTATGTTGGCAAAAAAAAAAAAAGCCACAAGATTATACTCTAAGAAGGTTTGTTTGGTTTGGTTTTTGTTTTTTTTTTTTTTTTCAACATACTTGGGAATAGCCAACGGGAAATTTTCTTTATTTTTTTTCCAAGTCTGATCATTTATTAATTACCCTTAAAGAGTTATTTTTTACTGGATTCAGACATGTAAGTAGAAGCTCTCTGCTTCCTTCATTCTCTCAGCCAAGGTTTAGCAATTCTGCAGCCTTCCTCCCTTTTCTTGGTGCGTCGTTTCTTCAGAGCAGTACCTGAGGGTCTGTGTGGAAGGCCACGTGGGGTTACAGGATGCTGAATCTTCAGGGCTTTCGTCTTGGCTTCTTCCCTTTGTTAAAGGACATCCCGCCAACATACTGCTGGACCTCATCTTCTTTAGAGAGACTGAAAAGGTTTTCGGATTCTGTGAGCTCTTTGGCGCCTCAACCGCCAAGGCACAATAGCCTAGTAAAAGGCACAGTAGCCTAGTAAAATCCATTCTTCCCTTTTTTACCAAGTTGAGAAGACTCCTTGCCTGATGGGAAGACCTTGTTTGTCATTCCCACTGACTCAGACCACACAACCCTTCCATTCTTCATGCAGAACATCATCAGGAATTTCTGTGGCTATTGATTTCTCATAGAAAGTACAAAGTTTGCTTCCTTGTCCGCGTTGGTGCACCTCTGACAGGTGATGGCTGGGAAAGAGATAGATACTCAGCTTCATCTTGACACACGCAGCCCACAGGCAA